CAAGTCCCACTTTAGATGCAAAGTTCCGGGAGCGCCCTGCGGGGAAAACTCTCCCCCGCTCCGAGAACGTCATCGCCCGGCTCCCTCCGCGCTGAGACCATTGGCTGGGATCTTTGGACGCGGTACTGAATTCCTCGCCCGAGGCTCCGGGCGTCTGGGCTGCCTTCCCCCGCCTATAAGCAGGTACAGCAGGTCCTGTGGCGCCGCTTCGGTCGTCTTATAGTACATTTTAATGGCTTTCCAGCTAGATTTGAAGTCCGCGAACAGTAGGAGTTTTTTTTTGTATCTCCGCTCCCACCATGCCTGCCGCAGTCTGTACTTTTAATAGTTGATAAACTATCACATTCAGTCCAGCTTTGCAAGAGAGGAATTTAAGAACAGAGGGTTTTATAACTTTCTCTCACACTTTTAGATATAATTATTGCAGCTTTTTTTTTAAATATCAAGAGCTACCTTGATATAAACTTTTTAAAGTTTTATCATTATTCTTAATTTGCCCAGTAAATAACCATAACGTTTATTTGGTAAGTGTCAATAGTGATGTAAACCATCTCGAAAGACTTTTTAAAAAATAAAACTTGGAAAATAACTGAAAAGCATAAAAATAAAAGTCACCTGTGTCCACAACTTAGAATTTAACTTTCTGGTCTACTTTTACATTTTTGAAATCTGCACTATAACACCTTTTAAAAATTCAAATGGATGCAAGCTCTTTCCCAGACTTCTCTTTAACATACTTAGAACATTTTGCTATCTCATTTATATAAACATATACATTTTATTGTGAAAATTTCTAAAATTTTGTACATAAAATACAACTAGCATCCCCATACACCTGACCCACTGAGCTTTAAAAACATTGAACGTTTTGCCACACTTCCACATATTTTCTGCAATACTTTTTTTTTTTTTTTGCTTGGCTTATTTCACATAGGATATTTTTTTTTGTCATACATTGAAATGAATTTGCAATACTTTAAAGCCCAATTTCAAACACATTATTTTACCCCTAAATACTTCAATATGCATTAAAATGTTTTTTTCTTACAAAGCCAAAATGCCAACATATAACAAAATGAATATTAACATCTTTAAATTTACCAGGGTCTTAAAAAAACGCCTTTTCCCGTTTAATGTCCTTGTTGTCTCTTTAACCTTTTTAAATCTAAAATAGTCCCCTCACCCACTCCTTTTTAATGCTATTAACATGTTATTTTCTTGGGCTCCAAAATCACTGCAGAGGTGACTGTAGCCACGAAATTAAAAGATGGTTGCTCCTTGGAAGAAACGCTATGACCAACCTAGATAGTATATTAAAAAGCAGAGACGTTACTTTGCCAACAAATGTCCCTCTAGTTAAAGCGATGGTTTTTTCCAGTAGTGTCAGGGAATGTTTGATGGGAGGATGCCTACGTGCTGTCTCTCATGAGTCCTTTGTCTCTCTTCAGGCGGAACAGCACGCTGCTCCCAGGGACTGAGGTCATTGTGTGAGGCTGGCTTGGGTCTCCTTTAGTAAACATTCTCTTTAGGACAAAACTGCTTAGTCTCATTCCCCCTTCTTGAGATATGGATTGTCTCCTGACCTTGTGACTAACATTACCCCTTGTTCCCTTGGTAACAGTTGCTGTAAGTTTGGTTTTCTGATCTCTATCATTCCCGAAAGAAGTTTCTTGTACCACAGCCTATATATGCTCATAGAAAAATCATTAAAGCACCTTTGCTCCATCAGAGCTTAGGTCCCTGGGTCTTTTCTCTCTCTCTCTTTCTCCCTTTTACTTTCTTATCGTCGACTCCGTACCACCAGGTTCCGGTCCATTAAAGGACCCCAACACAGTAGTCTATGTATGGATGTGAGAGCTGGCCCATAAAGAAAGCTGAGTGCCAAAGAGTCAATGCTTTTGAACGGCCATGTTGGAGAAGACTCTTGTGAGTCCCTTGGACTGCAAAGAGATCCAACCAGTCCATCCTAAATGAAATCAGTCTTAAATATTCATTGGAACGACTGATGCTGAAGCTGAATCTCCAGTACTTGGGCTGCCTCATGGGAAGAACTGACTTACTGGAAAAGACCCTGATGCTGGGAAAGATTGAAGGCAGGAGGAGAAGGAATGACAGAGGATGAAATGGTTGGATGGCATCACCAATTGAATGGACATGAGGTTGAGCAAGCTCTGGGAGTGGGTGATGGACACGGAAGCCTGGCGTGCTGCAGTCCATGGGGTCGCAAAGAATCAGACTGAACTGAACATGTTGAAGAAACCAGGTCAGTTGTCCTATGGAATGAATATGCTATATTTAATATGGCTGGTTGCTTCTCCCTGGTGTTGTTTTTCCATCCTGACTTCCAGTATCTTGTCTGTGGGTCTAACGCCTTTGATTAAATTCAGATTCAATTTTTTTCACTTCTTGGGTTTTATAATTGTATCTCTTTTTTGCTTAGGCCAAAAATCATGATTCTAAAACCTTGACATAATTGCTTTATCTTGTCCTTAGATCTATTTCAAAACAACCACATCAATATTATGACAGCAATAAGATTAGTGAATAAAAGTTTAAGATTGATGCTGCGAGGGATTGGGGGCAGAAGGAGAAGAGGGTGACAGAGGATGAGATGGCTGGATGGCATCACCAACTCGATGGACGTGAGTTTGAGTGGACTCTGGGAGTTGGTGATGGACAGGGAGGCCTGGCGTGCTGCGATTCATGGGGTCGCAGAGAGTTGGACATGACTGAGCGACTGAACTGAACAATTTTTAGAGTATACCCTAACAAAGATACACATATATGTTTTTCTAAGGTAGGTTATCTGTTGAACACCTTCCCCCTAGAGTCCTGGAGCTCTTCCTCTAAGTCTTTAAGTTTCAATAATTCCATTCTTTTCTTTATATTCCCTCAGCCGCAGAGATGGTGGGTGCTTCCCATAGTTACTTCCTCTATTATACACCACTAGTCCCTTTTGTCTTTTCAGTTCTTATTCAGATCTCTAGAATATGATTAACAAGTGATAATTGTAGTTTTGGTCTTGGCTGAACCATAACTGATAGTCTCCATCAACACCAAAAGTCATCTGACACTCATTCATAATTTATTTAAAAAGCACTGAATAAAATAATAATTGATAGGTAATACTTTAATGTGATTATAAGCATACGCAACCAGCTTATTCCATAGCATCTATCTTAATGGGGTAAAGCCAGAGGCATTCCTATGAAAATCAGGAACAAGACAATGATATCCACCATTCTCACTGCTATTTTACACTAAATATAAGGTAGCAGTCATGCAGTTACATAAGAGAAAGCAGTGAGAGGCCTAAGAATTGGAGAGAAAGGAGGAGGAAAGATAGCCTGGTTTTCAGAATATATATATCTGGAAAATAGTATAAACAACAACAGAGTTTAGTAATTAACATACAGAAATCAATAATCTTCATATATACAAGTGATAATCGATTAGAAAAGAGACTAAAAGATTCCATTTATATGTATTACCAGGAAAAAAGAATGCCAAGGCATCAAGAAATATGGAAAACTTTCATGAGGGAAGTTTTGAAACTCCTTTAAAGTCCGTATAAAGACAATGATAGAGGGGCATAAAAAGACATAAACTAGTAGAGGGAACAGAAAATTGAGAAACAAGTTTAAGTGTATATGGAAATACAACATTGAAAAATGTGGCACTTCAAATCAGTAGTGGAAAACATGGACTTTTTAATTAATGGGCAATCCTTTGGGAAAAGGTCAAAAATTGTGTTCATATTTCACCATAAAACAAAATCCACATGAATCAGAAATTTAAACGTCAAAACGAAATGAAACCATGGGTAAATGTCTTTCTTAATCTGGGAACAGGAAAACTTTTTTAATGTGACTGAGTTCCAGTAAAAGTCTGATACATACAATGAAAAATAATTTGCATGGGAACAAAAAAAAAAAGACAAACTTCATGGAAAGGAGGAAAAAACAGAAACACTAGGAAACCAAATACCAGATAATGACAGAGATTCAAAGCGTTAAGTAATAATAGTACAGGAAAGGAAAAACTGTCAGGGTGCCAAACCCTAAAGCAGTGTAAATTATTCCTTTAATAAAACATCTAGCCTCCATTCAGCAGACACTGTTAGTAAATGAGTAAGTTCTGTGGGACTCTGTAGTCTCACAACTGTTTCTCAAAGTTTGGTCCTAGGACAGTCTGCCCCAGAATTATCTGAGGTGTTTGTTAAACAAAATGCAGATTTCTTGGGCCTACTCGTTTAGTTGCTGGATATTTAGTTGCTGGATATAAGAAAGCTTTTCCATCTAGGCAGAATAGATTTTTACTAATCATTTCAATACAGTAAGCTATGTTTGTTAATCTCAAGTATGAATAGGATTTACTACTTTTTAATACTGGAATAATAAGTGATCTTTAAAGTTACAAAAACCAAATTCAAAAGCACCTGAGAGAGAAACCCACTCCACCAAGTCATCAGATTACATATAATGGAAGTAATACAGCAGCTGACAGTAAACAAGTAATTTTGAAAGTTGAAGAATGAAGGGTGAGAGAAAACTGGCCAGGGCAGAAGGTGACTTTTAAAATCTTATAGGTGTTCACATTTACTGAATGGTTTTAAAAACAAAATAAAACAAAACAAGGTAGTTTGGTGTATAACAAGATAACCAGTGCAAAGTATTTATAATACATTTTATTCAGTTAAAAGGTTATATAAAAACCTTTATATAGTTAAAGGTTGTTTGGTTGAAAGGAGATTATATGAGCAGGAAGATAAGTTATAAGGTGACCAAAATAACTTAAAGTGCTTAATATTACAAAATAGCTATTTTATGCATATTACCTATACATAAGAATAAACACTCTACAAAAAGGCAAGAGATGAAAAAAAAAAAAAAACCCCGGAACTTTTCATCATGCTTTTCATCTTCTTGATCCTAGTTAGATCCCTGTTTTGAATTGCTATGGTTTGAGAAATCAGGAAAACCAGAATGTATAAATTCACCTCATCTTCTCATCTTCCTGCAAAGTAGAAAAAAAAGGAAGATTAACAACCACCTAAAGCTAATGCTTTTGCTGCAAAGTATGGAAAGGAAAATCGCTGCATCAGAAAAATAAAATGCAGATTCCTCAAACCACAAGCTGCGTCACATATTTAAATAGTCTATGATCGGGGGAATTACAGATGAGGTTTTAGAGAAACTAATCCAAATTTTATAGATTACATGTTTACCATGTATTTCCTTTTAATTATGAACTGTAGCATACATATAAGAATATATGAAAATGTACAATTTAAAACCAGTCAAATTCTGATACACCAACATCCAGGTTAAGAAATAAACTCTTACCTCATCTCACAAGCCCCTGCTGTGCTCCTTTCTGGGAGACAAAATCAAAGCCCTCTCATCTCCCAAGAAGTGACCACTATTTTGAATTGAATTCATCAATCCCTTGTTGAATTAGTAGCAGGAATAGCCGACATTCTTGACTTGTTCTTAACTTAAGTGTAAATACCTCTGTTGTCTCCCCATTAAACAAGATACTGGCTTTAGGGTTAAGGTATGCAAGTACAATTCATCATTTTATGAAAGTATCCTTCAGTGTCTATTGAGTATTTTAATCATGAGTGAGTACTGAATTTTGTCAAAGGCTTTTTCAGTATCTATGAAAAAAATCATAAGCTTTATTAACATGGTATATGATAAGTTTTCTAATATTAAACCAACTTTGCATTCCTGGAATACACCTTACTTGGTGGGTTTATGTTTTTCATAGCATGGTGTTAGATATGCTTTTGTAATTGGGCTGTGAACACTTTAGAGGAATATGTCTTCTCTCTTTTCAGAGTGTGGAGTTTGATATGTAAACTGTAAGATTTACCCTACTAATTAGATTGTTTAGATCTCCATCTCCTTACTAAATTTTTGCCCACTTTATTTGCTTTATATTGAATAGTATATAAAAATTTATTCATGTATTTCTGTCTCTGTGTATCTCCTATAGTTTTTGCTTCATGAAAGTAGTTGTTATGCTATTTGGTATATAATATTACAACTATTATATATTCTTTGTGGATTAGGGCTTTTACTATTAAAAATATCCCCTTTGTTATGTTCAGTTCTTTGGGACTTAAGAGATAAAGACTTTAAAAAATATTTGTATTACCTTCCTGATAACTGCTCCTATTCTCAATGCCTATGATGACCACTCCATAACATATTGTAAGCAGTTTTCATCAGGATTTATTCTCACTGGGGGCCTATCAAAAGCTATGATATACCTGCTGCATGCCATTCTCAGTCCAAAAAGAAAAAGTGGCAACTGGATTGTTATCATTCTTAGTATTTATCCTGATGTACATTGTGTTATTTGCTTTTAAAAAAATTTACCAACTAAACCGATTCCCAGATAATCTGCATGCCCAGTAGATCTAAACTAAAATAGAACACTAATTCATAAGAGCATTTTATTATATTTAGTTTAGGTATATATAGGTATATTTAGGTAGCTCTTTTAAAAGAATTTATTAAGTATTACCTAGCTGTAAAAAGGAATGAGAAAAATCTCTCCAAATTCATATGGAGTGATTTCTAGAATGAAATGATAAGAAGCAAAGCTCCCCAAAGCAGCTAGGTATGCTTACTACCTTATGCAAGAAAAAGGAGGATATACACATATTTGCTTATTTGTGCAAAAGAAATACATAACCTAGAACAAAAGGAACTCGTTATCCACAGGAGGTAATAAAAATAGGGTAGAAAGCAGGAGTAATGGGAATAGGGTAGTAGGGATGAAAGAAGTGACACTTCTCTGCAGCTTTGGAAAACCATCTAACAATTCCTCAAACAAACACGATGGCTCAGTGAGTAAAAGAATCTGCCTGCAATGCAGGAGACACAAGAGATGCAGGTCTGATCCCTGGGTTGGGAAGATCCCCTGGAGAAGGAAATGGCAACCCACTCTAGTATTCTTGCCTGAAGAATCCATGGACAGAGGAGCCTGGTGGGCTACAGTCCAAAGAGTTGGACACGACAATATAAGTGTGCACACACACGCCATATGACTCAGCAATTCCACAACTAGGCATATACCCAAGAGAAATGAAAACATATACACACAAAAGCTCACAAATGTTTGCAGCAGCATTATTTATAATAGCCAAAAAGTGGAAACAAGTAAATTACCATCAACAGACAAATGGATAAGTAAAATGTGGTGTATTTTCAATAGAATATTTTATTCAGTCATAGAAAGGAATGAAATACTACTCACACATGTTCATCAGGAATGAATCCTGAAAACATTATGCTCAGTGAAAGAGACCAGTCACAAAGCCCACATACTGTATGATTTCATTCATATGAAATGGCCGAAGAGGACATCTACAGAGATGAGAGTCAGGTGATCAGTTGGTTGTCTAGGGCTGAGGGATACAGCAATGACAGCTAAAGGACAGGGGGTTTCTTTCTGAAATGAAGAAGTGATCTTAAATTGACTGTGGTGATGGTGTACATGTCTGTGAATCTACTGAAAAACCATTGAACTGTACACTTTAAATGGACAAAATATATGGTATGTGAACTGTAGCTCCAAAAAGCTGTTTTTTAGAAAAGCCCTTGGTCCTTCATCTTTGACTGGCTTCTCTTGCACACTCTCTTACACTACTGACATCTGCTGGTAATTTTTTTAAAATACATATTAAAACAATCAATGCATTTAATTTTATAAAGAAGCAAATACTGAGACAATTTAAAGAGAAAATTTGAGGATATTTCTATCCTTTTAAAAATACCATCCCAAATATCATCAGGTTCTCTGAAATAGCTATTTATCCTTGGAAAAAATAGGATTTTTTAATTAAACATATGTAAAAGGCATTGGGACATTTTTGAGATAATCAAGGAAATGGGAATAGGGATTTGCTATTAGATGACAGTGAAGAACTATTGATAATTTTTCTAGTTGTGATTGCTGTTGTCCAGTTTTATTAAGTTCTTATTTTCTAGATATATGTATATACAGAAGTGTTTTAGGAATTAAATGACTCAATATTAGGGATATGCTTTAAAGACACTACAACAGAAAACAGTTGTAAAAGTAAATCTAGCAAAATATTTGTAATTCTCAAAGCTCAGGGATCGATAAATGGCGGGTGTGGGGGAATATCTTTCCCTCTCTTTGAGGGTACGTTTGAGGTTTAAAAAAAGGGCAGTTACACTTTGAGACTGAAGGACATATAAACCACTCTGAACTCCTCTAAAGACACGGCAGAAAATAAAGAGCGGTAACAAGTAACGAGGGGCTTGAAAATTATAGGCAACAAAAAATGCTTAAGCCTGTTAAAATAAAAGAAGGCATTTCTTCAAATCTTACCCACATCATTCTATGGGTATTACATGTCAGCAATAATGCACGTCATTCATACTCAAAACTGTTCAAATACAGGCAGGACTTCTTTTAAAAGCATGTATTTTATAGCGCCACACTGAAATCACTTTTATGTCATTGAAATACTCACCCTTTGAGACTTGGCTCCTTTAAACAGAGAGGAGTACACCTTCTTCTTCGGCTTGGCAGCTCTGAAGATAGATGATCTACCCTGTTTTCAAATTTAGCAGCGGTATTTGAAACAAAACTGGTATTTGTCAAGTCTTGTAGCATTCTAACACCTGAAAAGAGTATTGTTTTTAAAAATATTTTTAATAGTCTATATAGAGATATTGGAATATATATAGGATATTTACTGGTTTATAAATGATTGGTATCAAATGTTTCAACTTAATCAAGTTATAACTTTGAACTTTATAAAAATAGGACTGAAATTATCTGTAAATCAGGTTTTTTCCCTAGCAATAATGAGAGGAAGAGACTTACTATTTAAAACAAACTATCAAAGTAGTAGCCTGTAATGTTTTTATACTAAAATCATTTAGGCTGATAGAAATTCTTTATGATTCAATTCGATGTCGATGACTGCTCACACTATGAAAGGCAACATGAGAAACAGATGAAAGACAGCTTACCAATCTCTACAATGTCCTGCAACTCGAGACCTTTGCACTTCTTTCAGTATTCCTTTTACCTGGAACAGTCTTATCCATAAAAATCCTAGTGTTCTATATACATCTATTGAAATGTTACACTTCTGGTAGGAAACTGTAATTGATACAGGAATTGTCTAATATTGCAACATTTCCAATAACAAAAGAAAGTGAAACTTGCTCAGTCCTGTCTGACTCTTTGTGACCCCATGGACTATACAGTCCCTGGAATTCTCCAGGCCAGAATACTGGAGTGGGTAGCGTTTCCCTTCTCCAGGGGATCTTCCCAACCCAGGGATCAAACCCAGGTCTCCTGTATTGCGGGCAGATTCTTTACCAGCTGAGCCACAAGAGAAGCCCAAGAATACTGGAGTGGATAGCCTATCCCTTCTCCAGCAGATCTTCCCAACCCAGGAATCAAACAGGGTCTCTTGCATTGCAGCAAATTCTTTACAAACTGAGCTGTCAGGGAAGTCCTTAATAACATAAAAATGTTAATGTTAAGAGGAAAAAGTGAGGTAAGTAATGTTATATATGGTTTGATTTCAAATATGTATTTTAAAATGCATAGATTCACGTCTGCATGCATATGGCAAAATGTTGACTTCAGTTCTTCTGGGTGATTGTTTTTCCTCCTATTTTCTGATTCTCTACTTTCAATTTTCTGCAATGGGCATTATTTTAATAACTGGAGAAAATAAGAAAGAAACACTAAACCTAAAAGTCCTATCTATCCTTTCAGGGCCTAAAGTGCTATCTGTTTGATGGTGCCTCTGCAGGTTTCTCTAGCCAAAACCATTCCCCATCATTACATCCCTTCATATGTGCGCTTTTATTAAAGCGTTTGCCACGCTTAAACACTGTACTTTCCCATACACGGATGAGGAAAGGGATGTGGTATTCTTCATTTTTAATCCTCTAAAATACCTAGATTATTATTTTTTTTTTTGGCTTTGCCTAGTGCCATGTAAGATAGTTCCCTGACTGGAGATGAAACCTGTGCACCCTGCAGTGCATCTGTGGAATCTTAACCACCAGACCACCAGTAAAGTCCCTAGAATAATGTTTTGATCATACTAAATGTATGCTGTTGGAGACAGTCCCATCCTTAAGAAATCTGCAACTGTCTTTGGTAAAATCAAACTAGGGCAGTTCATTATTGTTGTTGTTCAGTTGCTAAGTCGTGTCCAACTCTTTATGACCCCATGGACTGCAGCACGCCAGGCTCCTCAGTCCTCCATTATCTCCTGGAGTTTGCTCAATTGGCTTAGATGGTAAAGAATCTGCCTGCAATGCAGGAGACCGGGGTTTGATCTCTGGGTTGGAAAGATCCCCTGCAGAAGGAAATGGCAACTGACTCCAATATTCCTGCCTGGAGAATTCCACGGACAGGAGGCTGGTGCACTGTAGGCCCATGGGGCTGGACACGATGGAGTGACTCACATATAGCAGGTACACATACATACATATCTCCCTCTCCATTGAGTTGGTGATGGTGTCTAACCATCTTATGCTCTGCTACCACATTTAAAACTCAATTTCCTTCAAAAATATGAAAAAGGAAATCATCTGTCCAGTGTCATCATCAGACAACTTTGTGCTAAAGGCCAAATACATCAATGTCCAAGCCACTCTCATTGTTACCTTCTTCAAGTATTAAGCTTTCTTTAAATTCCTCTATATTGCTTCTATAGATCAGGCTACATACTTATACATTATTTTAAAATTCCATAAAAATCAGTTATAATAGGAAATGCTTTACTGGCTAAATGAATATATATATATATATATATATACACACACAATTTTAAAACTTCATCACTTCGGGTATGGACCTACCTATTTCTGATCTTTGTGTTCTCTGGTCGACTTCAAATTTCATGTCTTTCATCTTCTCATGTACCTTATCACTTACTTGAAAGATGGGCGAGCTCTCTGGGGCAAAATTTCCTTTCAGATTTTTATTAGAAGAAATACTCAAAGGTACTGAACCCTCAAGAACACTGTTAAGGGAAGAATCCTGTCTGCTAGGTGAATACATTTGAGATAAAGATATCAACATTTTTGTGTAAAAGTCTGGTTTAACTTTGACAGTTTCCACATTTTCCAACTTTTTCCCCTTAACAGTGTACTCAGGTTCAACTGACATTTCCTGAGTGGTGTCAGATGTCACCTCCATTAGTTCATGCCTATCCAGAGAAGCATCTTCGAAGGTCTTCCTTTTCTTTGATTTGGATGTCATCTTATTTACTTTTTTGACCTGGCACTCTCCTTCCTTCATCACCTCCACAACGTGGATCTCTCTCTTTCTATTCAGAGTTTTAGTACTTAGCCTCGGGCTCCTATGTGGTTCCACGTGGTCTCCAGTGTCAGAATCTGCCTCATCAGTAATATGTTTTAAACCTGGTTCTAAGACAGACATCTGTGAAGAACCTGTCAACTGCAAAACAGGCATGTTGTCACTTTTTGCCAAAATGTTCTTTGCCTTGTCTGATTCTTTCCCATGCTTTTTAATTGGTTTATAAGGATTTGAAATTTCATCATAATTTTCTTTCTCATCACTGTTGATTTCCATACAGTATCCACTGATAACTGCTTGGCCTTCAGGTCTTTGTTTATTTATTTTAAAATCAAGATTTTTCATATAGCTTTCTTGGCCATGCACATCTTTACCATTATCTTCATATATCTGGCACATTTCAGAAATTATTTCTGTCTTCCGATTTACTTTCTGCTTCTGCTTAAGGTTCTTATTTATTTTTGATTCATTCTGCTGAGTAGGTTGCTTATCAGTGACATGCTCTGTCAAATCCAACATATTCTGGGTCTTATAATCATATAAATGTCCATCATCTTTGGTGGAAAGATAAATTGTCTGAAATTCATGTGTGACTTTTAGGTTTTCAGAAATGGTTTCTTCATTATTTGGGGTTAGGGAGAAGTCACCTTTTTCTGGGTCACATATACCTTTATTGTTAAACTCATTTTTTCTGTTCATTTCCAAAATTATTTCTGTCTTCCGACTTACTTTCTGCCTGAGTTTCTTATTTATTTTTGATTCCTTTTGCTTCCCAGTATCAGTAACACGCTTTTTCACCCCTAAAAGGTTTTGAGTCTCATAATCACATAGGTTCCTATTAACTCCGGAGGGAGGGTCAACTATCTGAAACTCATTGGTGTCTTCCAGGTTTTCAGGGATGATTTCCTCATCTTTTTGGATTAGAGAAAGTAAGTTACCTTTTTCTGGGTCAAGCCTGCCTTTGTCATCACTCTTATATATTTGGTTGACTTCAGAAATGATTTCTGTCTTCCGACACACCTTTTGCCTAAGCTTATCTATTTTTGATTCATTCTGACAAGCAGGTTGTATATTGTGAACATACATTTTCACCCCCAAAACATTCTGAGTGTCACAATCATATAGGTCTCTACCGTCTTTGGAAGAAAGAGTGAGTGTTTGAAACTCATGTGTGTCCACTAGGTTTTCAGGGATGATTTCTTTACCCTTTTCTGGGCAGTACTCACTTGTGTTATCTAAATGATTCACTGTGGAAATTATTTCTGTCTTCCGATTTACTTTCTGCCTAAGAGTCTTATTCATTCTTGATTCATTTTGCTGCAGAGGGTATGTGTCGGTGATTTTCTTTTGCAAACCCAACACATTCTGGGTTTCACAATCACACAGGTTTCCATTACTGACAGTGGAAAGAACAGATTTCTGAAACTCATTTGAAACATCCAGGTTTCTAGAGATGGTTTCTTTATCCTCTCGGGTTTGGAAGGAAAAGTTACCTTTTTCTGGGCCTTGCACATCTTTAGTATCATTCCCAAGTATTTGGTTCATTTTAGAAATTATTTCTGTTTTCCGATTTATCTTCTGCCAAACCTTCTTATTTATTTTTGACTCATTTTGCTGAGTGGGTTGCGTATCAGTGACATGCTTTTTCAAATCAAACATATTTTGGGTCTCATCATCACATAACTTTGCATTACCTTTGTTGGAAAGATAAGCTGTTTGAAATTCATTTGTGACACCTAGGTTTTCAGAGGTGGTTTCTTGAACCTTTTGGTTTGAGAATAAGTTATCTTTTTCTAACTTATGAATCACAAATGTCTGTCTAGAAGCTTTACTGTTCTTACAAGCTAGAGAACTTGGACCCAAATCAAATTTACCATCCTGTGGGAATTTATCTGAACTTTGGGAGAAAGAGTATGCTTCCTCTTGCTCCTCTGTTACATGAATTCTTTTCTTCTTTTTGTTACACTGCATACTTTGCTTGTCACCCTGATCAAAGCCATTAGGAAGGGTTATTTTCTTCAGCGTGTTCAACTGAGTCATCTGTTCATTACTGAAGATAAAGTTTGGATCTCTTGAATCCCCTTCACCATCCAGGTCAACAGATCTTCTTTCTGGTCCACTTTCAATTTTTTCCTCAATATTTGCACCTGAACTATTTTTACATTGTCTCTTTGATCTTTCTCTCTTTTTTTCAGAGCTTGGATCTTTCACTTTTCTGAAAGTTTTCATTCCACAATCATCTGGATTTTTCTTTCTTTTCTTCTTAGTGCCTGTTGAAACTGTAACAATTTTGCTGACTTCACTAGCAGTTAAATCCATGTCATCATCATACACAGTTTTCTGCAACTGAAAGTCATCATTACCCTGAAGTGGATTCATGCCTTTTGTAAGAGGTTCACTTGCAGACTCAGATGAGGCAGGAAGGTACAATATGTTTCTCTGCATTGTAGTATTTGTTTCATTAGTATAATCCTTTATCTCATTATTCCAATTTAATATTGGACTTGAAACCTGTTGTTGATCTAAATCTGTTACACAGGGAGTATCTGCAGGATTATCTGACTCCCAAGATGAAACACGTTTTTTCCTTTTAGTCACATTATTAGGAGATGACTTCTCTTTTTTGTGGCTGATCGCCTGGGCATTTTTCTTCTCACTTGTTAGAGAGCTCCTAGAACTTTGGTCTGAGTGGGAATGGTTTTCTATAAAATCAAGAGAAACAAAATTCAGAAATAAGTAGTAACAAGTAATTTATTACTTTCAGAGAAAAGATTTCTGACAATGCATTCTGTTTAGATAACTTACGTTATGAAGAATCTGCTGATAAAAAATAAAGTAGAACCCACTGGAGTAGTCATAAGTCAGATTTTACATTCCTATCTACAAAAAATATGTACTGGGAATTCACTCTGCCTTGGCCTCAAGAGTAGAGTGGAGAATAGCCAGCAATAAAACCATGAACATTATTAATGTAAGTTTCTAAGTGGGAGGAGGCCAGCAAATGAACCCAAATAACAGTGATAACTCCAATAAGGCTTATTGTCAACATGTTATTAGCAAGAAGCTAAAATTTATAAAATTATATACACACACTCACATACATTTTTAGAATGGAAAATAATTCAAACTCCAAATTCAATATAGTTATGGTTCCATAAGCCAATATGAAATTCTAAGGAAGTGGCAACCCACTCCAGTACTCCTGCCTGGAAAATCCCATGGACGGAGGAGACTGGTAGGCTATAGTCCATGGGGTCGCAAAGAGTCAGACACGACTGACCGACTTCACTTTCACTTTCTTTCCCTTTCATGTCAAATATATAACCCAGACTACATCACAGGATTATTACTTTAAAAACCATTAAAATATGTCACCATTTTTCCTTGCTCAACCATTACCCAGGCTCAAGTTTTTGCTTTACCAGTATTGGTTATGATCTTGAAAAAGTCGCTACACCTATCTAAAGTCTCAATTTTCATATCTATGAAAAGGAAAGGATGTAACTAAATAACATACTTTTAATTTATAAGCTAAGATACCACAAAAAGCTCTTTAGGCCAGCTCATTTCCAAATACTGTTTCCAAAGTAATAGTATTAGCCACTGTGGACCTCACATTTGTCAGCATTTACTTTTAAATTAAGTTTTCACCAGAAATTTTAAATGGTATAAGTTAGTAGATCTGTAACATAAGAAATCTAACTTATTAACTGTTTATACATGATAGCCCTCAAGAAGAAAATCTGATGAATGTTAACTATTTAATACTGATACTCAAAATGAACTTTAAAAATCTCTCACCTTTGGGAAGTATATCAACAATAGAAGAAACATGTTCTGAATCATTTACACTACAAACATTCTGATCATTTTCTTTAACGAATAGCAATCTCAAAGTATTCTGAGTTGATACTGGTCTTGCTGATACCAAAGAGGGACTATCAGATGATGTCTTTGATATGGTGCTGTCATCACACTGTATTTTCTCTTTTTCTTCATCATCATCATTTGAAGTTAATGGAACCCTAAGGGCAAGTAAGAATGAATGGGTAATTTTGTATTTTATAAGAACTATTTAGAAAATTACTTGGATAATTGTTTCTACATTCCATTTATTTACGAGCCAACCACAAACCCACCCTGGTACCATCTTGTGTTCAATGAAGGCAGTTAGCAGGCAATAGGTAGTTTCTAATAGAACAGAACTTGGAACAAAACAGGAATGCTTCTTATCCTCTTTTCTCCAGTGGTTCCAAAAGGAGATAAATGATATAATCCCTGGTTGAGCTATTAGGATAATAATACTAATGAAATGAATAAAGTTCAAAGATACTTACAAATATTCATGTATAATATTTACAATTTTCCTGTAATTAATTCTATGGAAAACCCCAAACTCGTCCTATACAATAGTATGTAAAGTTTTGTGTGCTATAAAATTTGCTGTTTCCAAAAGGTATCCATATAAACTAAAGCCATATTCCTAGAGTAATTAAATCTATGGGGGGGAGGGGAGGAATACAGAAAGCTACAGAAATAATTAGACAAAATGACTGTTTTGAATTCAAAGAACAAAGAGTATGTGCGTGTGTGCATGCTAAGTCCCTTCAGCTGTGTGTGACTCTTTGCAATCCTACGGACTGTAGCTTGCTTGCCAGGCTTCCCTGTCCACGGCATTCTTCAGGCAAAAATCCTGGGGTGGGTTGCCACGCCCTCCTCCAGATGCAGGGATCAAACCTGTGTCTCTTATGTCTCCTGCATTGGCTGGCAGGTTCTGTACCACTGGCACCACCTGGGAAGCCCCAATTAGACAAAATGACTGTTTTGAATTCAAAGAATAAAGGGTAACAGACTCCAATGATAAAGATTTGCCTTATATGCCAAATTATAGATACTTAAAAATTACTGATGATGATAAAAATAAATAGAAAATATTTGTTAAATATTTAAAGGCAACTATTAACAGAATAACCATTGGGAGGAAATGTCTATACCACTTAAAGAAACAAATCAGTAAAAATAAACAGAGGTGAGGCTCTGCTTCAGGTAATGGCCAAATAGTTACTACTGAATCAACCGTAACAAACATAAAAGATATAAATTATAGAAGAAATATAAAAAACTACCTGAAGTCACTGGAGAGTCTACAAAAAGCAACTATACTCAGAAGAGAGGTTGGCACTTTGAAAAAGAACAATAAGCTTCCCACTGCTTACAAACCTCAGTCAGTGTCACATTTTCTAAAAGTTAGAAATCTAGTTTTATTAGTATTAGTTCAAGGTCAGAATTCAGGACAACTACAACTGCTGTAAAGTATGTGTGATGGGAGAAATAACAGGACAAGTGGAGAGGGGAGTCCCAAATTTTGTGCAAATAGATATACATATATAAATTAGATTCATCCAAAGACAGCATTAAGAGAGTGAAGAGGCAAGTCAGAGGGTAAAAAACATTTGAAATGCAGAAAGGATTTACACATGGTGTATAGAAAGAACTATTGCAAACCTGTTTTAAAAAAAAAAGATAACTTGCTAGAAAGAAAATGAACATATAAACAGATGCTTAACTTCATTAATTATCAAGGAAATTAAAACTTCAGTGTAATACCTATACACTGGCTAAAATGAAAAAGATGGACAATAACAAGTGTTGTTGGAGATACGTAACAATAAAAATTCTCATTTATTGCTGCTAGAAATATAACTTGGTATAATCCCTGTAGAAAACTGTGTAACAGATTATTCCAAAGCCAAATACGTAAAAACCCAGCAATTCTAAACAGATACCTAAAAATACCTAATTCTAAATATATACCTAAAAAATGTGTACATATATTAATCAAAAGGCAGAAACACAGAATTACTTAGACCAAAACTAACAACAATAAAAAGAACCAGAAGGATGGAAACATTATGGAAAAGTCATGCAATCGCACACTACACTGCATTAAGGAAGACTGATCCACAACTACACAGGACAATATGGATGAATCTCACAAACACAAGGCTCAGCTAAAGAAGCAGGAGACAAAAACCATACATCCTGCATGGTTTCATTATATGAAATTCAAAGCTAGGCAAAATTAATTAATCTACAGTGTAAAAAGTCAGTATAATATTTATCCTGCGGTGGCTGGTGAGCAGTGACTGGCAAGGGGCACAGGATATCTGAGGTATTGGCAATATTCTGTTTCTTGGTCTGAGTATTCATTATACCACAGTGTTCACTGTGAACATTCACCATTCTCTAAAGATTTTTGCACTTTAAAAAAACATGTATTATACTTCAAACAAAAGTCTACTTAAAAAAAAATAAAAATTTTCTGGAGGGAAAGTTAACACTTAATTCATAAATTTATATGAAATAATGCAAGTATAGTAACAGTCAAGATTTTCTTGAAAAAGAACTGAGCACCTACAAGACAATAAAATGTACCATTTAAAACTAAATTTATTAAAATGTACAGGTGCAATGTGGCACCAGTACAAAACAGAGAACAAAGGCACAAACTGGAATGAATAGAAAATGATACAATAGATATAAGCATTTTTTTTTTACTATGGTACAGATACCACTTCAATACATAGGTATTTCCTTGTACACTTGAATAAATGCATTAAACCTGTAATTTATATAACAGAAGAACACTGTCTAAAAGACACAAGACAATTCTGATCAATATTATTAACCCACTGAGTCATTTAACCTCTCTGGACCTCAATAACTGTCTTTAAAAGTGACAGTGGAAAGTGACAGTAGGGTATTTACTAAGATAGTGAAAAGTGAAAGTGTTTGTCACTCAGTCATGTCCAACTCTGTGACCCCACGGACTGTAGCCCTCCAGGCTCCTCTGTCCATGGAATTCTCCAGGCAAGGATATTAAGATTATAATTAAATTATTCAAGAAATGGAAATTTTGGTCAGGTGAATAGTAATGATGAAAGTTAAAGTCTGAGTAGTATGCAAGATAGAAAAGGTAGAAATAGTTATCAGATATATCCAGCAAAAAACATGAGGCTAGTGGTGACCTGGAGGAAAAGAAGGAACTGAAGAATAGCAGGATTCTATAGATGATCATGGTTTTTGATTGATGGTTAAGTTTCCCTGGAGCCCTAGAAATACAACCTACCATAGCAAGATAAGATTCTACCTTAACAGGCAACCTGAACACTGTAAGACACACAGACAATGACTGCTGCCTGAAAATCTAGGCACTCTGAAACACTGTAATTCAAACACTGTAACTCAAGCTGCACCTGTGCCACTTTCTTCTCCAGAAACTATGGGAAAGCTGAACATTATTTCAAAGTCTAAAACTGAATTTCATTAGATGATATCTTTCATTTCTTTCACTGGTGCAATATTGTCTTTATTTTTAAATGTTTTTCTGTTTCAAGGAAGCAGACCAATAAAAACTACTCAAAGTCCAATTCATGCAGAAGTGTGCAAGTCAATATTTAAACAAGTTGTGAAGCAATTACCTTGCAAAGGGAAGACGTGTCAATTTGCACTGTTTACTAACCCGTTTCTTCTTGCTACTTGGCGGTAGAAAGGGACTCTGATGGAACTATTTGTGAAAAGAACAAAGAAAACGAATGAATTTTCTAATTTCATTAAATTGTGTTTGTCATTAAAGTACCAAATTATACAAGGATATTAATAGTAATGGAACAATTCTTGTGTTCAGCCTTCACTAGTTTAATGTGAATAATAAGATGATAAGGTTAAACACAGTTCATCCTTAATCACGCCATACAAAGATAATCACTACTAATATTTTGGTATATAAACTCCCAAACTTTATTCTATGCTTATGAATAAATACACACGTGTATACCCATGCATACACCCATGTATACCCATGCATACACAATATTTCTACATATTCAGTTGATCCTTGAACAACATGGGGCTCTAGGATCTACCTCTATATTTTTCCTTGAGAGTTTTTCAATTGTGTCTATCTTCTAAAAATACCAATTCTTCTCTAATTTGAAATAGTACTTTTCTACTAAAATCATTTATGTTTTTGAGTCTGTTTAATCCTGTGTACCACTGAGCTGTCTAGTCTTATGTTACTTTTAATCAAAAGTTAATTTTTACACAAAAATTTTAATAACCAATTATATCAAATAACAGTGTACTGTTAGCCAATTAAAATTAGCATTATCTCCATTCCTTTGTACAAAGTTCAAGATATAAATCTAACCTTGATGCTATGTAACTAATATCAATTATCTTCAGTAATGCTAAAAAATATTACACTATTTAGCATAAATTCTACTTACCTCAGAAAGAGTGCTCATTTCAATTGCAGTTATCAAGTTATTGTTCATGAGTGCTTCTATTTCTATAAGCTTCTTATTCTGAAATAAAGAAAGACCTTTTTAATCACTTAAAATTTTGAGTTTACTGTATTTTTATGAATACCATCAGTTGAAAAGACTTAAAAAATACTGAGATCACATTGAGCTAAAAAGGTGCTGCACTGTGTAGTTGAAATAGACACAGACACATACATACAGAAACACATATATTTTTAGTGCTTTTGAGCTATCAACTATAAATTTTCCTGCTTTTTTTCTGGACACACCACATGGAATGTGGGATCTTAATTTTCTGACCAGGGATCAAACTCACACCCCCTGCATTGGAAGTGTGGCGTCCTAACCACTGGACCACCAGGGAAGTCCCTTCCTACATTTTTCAGTCTTCTCATAGTAATATATCATGTGACAAGTGACCACAGGCTGTCAGTCATAGGAATTTCACCTCCAATAAGTATAGTAAGTCATTTTTCCATTTTAAATTAATTTCTACTCACTCTGGAGTTAAAGAGTTACAGTTGTAACTTAGCTGAGCACTGGCTCTTACTGCCCTATCTGTGGACAGAGTGGGAATTTGGAAGGAAAAGCAAGACTACAATCTTCATTCTACTGATACTCAGCTTGTAGCCAGTGGAAAGTTGCCATTGAGGGAACACACTCAAGAGAACTTCCCTCCTTTCAATTCACTGGAGAAAACATGCCAATCTTCTTTTTCTTTCATTTTTAAAAATTTATTTATTTTTAACTAAAGGATAACTGCTTTACATATTACATTGATTCAATCTTCTTAAAATACATTAATGTATCAAGTTTTGCTTATGATAAGCAATCAAATGTTGATCAAGGTATTAAACTAGTTTGCAGAACAGCAAGTACACATTTAGAACGTAGATTCAAGACACCTATTTCATTACCCATTAACAGTTTGTCCATTAACATAGCACAATCTTTCAATAATTTTTTTATACTAATTACAGATTTAAAAAACATTTTTGGAGCTTCTATAATAATAGAAGTTTCAGAATTCAAACACAATGTAGTTTCCATACCAAATTATTTAGCTTTAGACGAAGAAATGTGTTCTCAAAATTCAGTTTATCCACTTCTTTTTGCAACAGCATCTTTTCAGTTGTAATTCTTCGAGAATTCTCTCTCTCTCTACTAAGAGCCTGAGCTAATGCCCTGTTGTTATGCTTTAAAGAAATTTTGAAAATAGAAGAATTGTCTGTAAAAAAAAAAATTGTAAGAGTTAATACCGAACATCTTAATACATTTTCATATTTCTTAATAAAACTATTTTAAACAAAACTTATTTCACTTTGTAAATTTTAGCTGAAGGTAGAAGAGGATAACAACACAGATGTAGTTTTGAAAAAAAAAATGTACCCAGAGTTTGGAATTGAAGAAATAAAAGCTAGACAGAAGATGAACAAAGTTGAGAGAAATGCAGCATGTCTGTGAATAGAGTCAGGAGTAAGAGGACTCTAGTACAGACAGTGCTGCGTGTGCTGTGCTTAGCTGTTCAGTCATGTCCGACTCCTTCCGACCCCGTGGGCTGAGCTCACCAGGCTCCTCTGTCCATGGGGATTCTCCAGGAAAGAATACTGCAGTAGGTGGCTACGCCCTTCTCCAGGGGATCTTCCCAACCCATGTATCGAACCCAGGTCTCCCGCATTGCAGACAGGTTCTTTACTGACTGAGTCACCAGGTCACCAGGGAAGCCCAAGAATCCTGGAGAGGGCAGCCTATCCCTTTTCCAGGGAGCTTCCCAACCCAGGAATCAAACCGGGGTCTCCTGTACCGCAGGTGGATTCTTTACCGGCTGAGCTACCAGGGAAGCCCATAGACACAGTATTCCAGCATTCCAGATAATTAGATCAGTCACAAAAACTAAATCCTGGTACTCATTGCTCTACCTTCCTTCCTATCTTTGACGAGGAGGTAGGATAGAGAAGCTCTAACTAAAGATGTCCCAGAGAAAAGTAGCGGATCTGTGAAATTAGGCAAATCTGTGAAAATTTTAGAGTCAGTTTCTGTGGCACCAGAACTGAACACATTAATGCTCCCCAAGTCCATTTTTCAAAACCTCTAGTGAAAGGGAGCATACTTACTATAATGTTGGACAGATTATCTAAACCCTGTGGGACCTTCGACCTCTACCCCAAATACCCGCTTATTTCTATGCATCTATTGCAATCTATACTTGATCCCTTCTCTTTACAAGCACTATGTAAATATAATTTAGTTCAGAATGCTTTCTTGTTTTTAGCAAAGAAATTTAATTGTGAATTCCTTAGTAAAGCTCACCTTACACATAATGTTCCCTTAGTACACCTAAAGCATAATTATATTTTCACAATTTTGATTTACATGCCACTATTCAATAACATATCTCACTGATGACAGTCACCTTCGACATATCAAAGGGCAATAAGACTAGAACCAGTTCAGGACTTGTAGAAGCTAAAGGATAATAACATTTTCCTGTTACATTCCTCAAACTCCAGTGTATTCCTTCACAACAGTGGGTGTGCAGTGGTCCTGTCAAAGAGAACAGGAAACTGCCACTACAGAAAGTGGTTTGATACAAAGGATGGTCCTAGAGACCTTGGAAGGATCAAAACTATGAGTGAAAGATACTCAGGAGGCTTGGCTATTTCACAAGGCACAATTACCTTCTATATGTGCTACAGCAGCAGGAATCCTCCTCCCCCAATTAGGCTAAAATGAAGATGAATCATTGAGATCATTTTCTGAAGTAATGCAAATTTATTTTGGGGCGCTTCCCTCACCTTCTTTTTTTGCCTTCCGACATCTTAGCTCCAGAATCCATGAAACCCCATCTCCAAAGTGCTCAGTGCCCTGATGATGAGCTTTGGTTATATAAAATCACCCAACAGCACACTATATAGTCCAGCCACCCCTAGATTACCCATCATCCAAATGCTACAACATATCAGAAGGACAATCCATCATTTTTTTCAAGTTCTTTTTCAGAAATGTCACTTTGAAAAAAAAAAAAGAAATGTCACTTTGGTATTTTCTTTGCAGTGTAGGAGGTAGTTGCCTTGGGCCACCCACCCCCCAACCTCACTGTTGAAAATTCAGCTGTCATGACTGACAGTAAATCATCATAAGCACCCCCAACTAAAAGAAGTTGAAAGAGACAGGAAGGATTGAATAGAGAAGGTATCATTTAATAAACAGTCATTTTCTATACTTGCTAAAGTACCAAATACTATATCCATTCTCCAGAAAAAAGTAAAAATATGAGTATACTTTAAGACAAATGACACTTACTTATTATTTTTGTTTTTATTTTTGAAGCAAGAGAAACATTCAACTTAGTAGTCTTTGAAATTCTTCCATCTTTCACATGTTTCTTAATTCCTGGGGTAAAAAGTGAACTAGTTTCCATTGCTGGGTACTCCATCACTGAAGTAAAAAAAGAAAGAAAGCAGAAAATCATAGTATTAATTAATAAAGGGGAAAAGGGCAACTGATAAATACACTCTAAGAAGTAAATTATGACTTAAATAATATGCTTTGTACATAAAGTGAAAGTGAAAGTGAAGTTGCTCAGTCGTGTCCGACTCTTTGCGACCCCATGGACTGTAGCCTACCAGGCTCCTCCGTCCAGGCAAGTAGTGGATTTTCCAGGCAAGAGTACTGGAATGGGCTGCCATGCTTAAGTATTTGCAGAACCCTTCATATAAAATCTGAAAGTATGAATGTAATCAAAAATGGTTTAAAAGAATACTAAAAAGGTAAATGACTTTTTCACTCAAACCTATATCATTATGGCTGCCTGCCAGGAGCTAAGCCAGGCACTGGGTAGAGAAAACAGGATCAGGCTGCATAGGAATGCAGTTATAGGATGTGGGCACAGACTATACTGTGATGCAAAGTAAGAAGTGTAACTTTAGAGTTTTGAACAGAAGAGATATACCTAAACCTACGGGGATTGTTCCCACTCCATCCTCAGATATGCATTCCATTTTCTGCAGCCTTTACAGCAAAACTCCTTAAAAAAAAAAAAGTATCTATAGTCAGTTTCCAATCTTCTTGTAACCCTACTTCACTCAGGCTTTCACTCTGTTCCAACAAAATGAGTTTTGTCAAGGTTTCTAATGACCTTCATACTGCTAACCTAATGGTCAGTTCTCAACCCTCATCTAACTTGATTTAACAGCAGCATTAAATGTGGTTAATTTATCCTTCCTCCTCAAAAATGATATTTTGTTGGCTACCAGAACACCACAAATTCCTGTTATTTTTTCCCCTCTAGCTAACTAGCTGCTGCTTCTTAGTATCTTATAGATTCCTAAGCTATAATAGGTTCTCTTCTTGGATTTCTTTATCTATCCTCACTCTTCCCGTGAATTCATAGTCATGGTTTAAAATACCACCTAGATGTCAAGAACTTCTAAATTTATGTCCTCTGTCTAGAACTCTTTCCTCAACTTCCCTGATTCATATCATTATCTACTCCACAACTCCACTTGGATAACCAAAACAGCACATCAAACTCGGCCTACCCAAGCCTGCCCAACTCAGAGCCTTCCCCATCTCAACTCTGTCCTTCCAGCTGCTTTGTCAAAAATCCCTCACATCCCAATCTACCTTCACGATTCATTTAGACTCTGACTACTTTTAAGTATCTCCACTGCTATCAACCTAGACTCAGGTACTAACATGTCTCACCTGAATTATTTCAATAGCTTCTTTCCAACCCTACTTCCACTCCTGCCCTCACTACAGTTTATTAATCTACAGAATCTAAAACTCTCCACCATCTAATCTTCTTCCCATTTCTATAATTTAAAATCCTCTTTTTCTCCTCCTTGTCCATTCTTCCCAAGACACAGTGGCCACCAAGATCTAACTGCTACTGACATATGCCTGGCATTCTTCAGCTTCAGGTCCTCTGTATTGAAGTACCCATTCCAGGGTGACTTACTACACAGAGATTGAGGTACAGTCATTCCTTGGTACCTGCAGGGTACTTGTTCCAGGACCCCACAGATACCAAAATCTATAATGCTCAAGTTCCTTATATAAAATGGCATAGTATTTACATATAACCTACATTAATCCTTCTGTATAGTTTATATAATCTTTATGTTACTTATAATACCTGATACACTGTAAATCACAGTTAAGTGCAATATAAACACTATGTAAATAGCTGCTCCTTTGCCCTTGGATGTGGGGTATCTCCTCAAAGTCGCTCCAGCGCCAGTGTAGCTGCCGCTCGAGTGCCACTCCACCCAAGGGCAAAGGAGAAGCCCCAGCAAGATGGTCCAAAGTCGAAAGTGAAGTCGCTCAGTTGTGTCTGACTCTTTGCGACCCCATGGACTGTAGCCTACCAGGCTCCCCTGTCCATGGGATTTTCCAGGCAATAGTACTGGAGTGGACTGCCATTTCCTTCTCCAGGAGGGGTGAAATCTCATTTAGAATCAAACCCCATACCCACCAGAGACACTCAGAGGGCTCAAACCTGGTGCGCACCAGGACCCGAGGCCCCACAGAGACTGAGACAGAACTGAGAGTCTGCTGAGGAGGTACAGGTCACAGTGGACTGCTGCGGGGGCAGGGGCTCTGGGTGCAGTAGACCTGGGTGTGGCATAAGCCCTCCTGGAGGAGGTCGCCATTAACCCACCGTAGAGCTGCCAGAACTTACACAGGACTGGGGACAGACTCTAGGAGGGCACAAACAGAACCTTGTGCACACCAGGACTCAGGAGAAAGGGGCAGTGACCTCACAAGAGACTTACCCAGACTTGCCCATGAGTGTCCAGGAGTCTTAGGGGAGGCGTGGGTTGGCGGTGGCCTGCTGCAGGGTTGGGGGCACGGAGTGTAGCAGTGTGTGTATGGGACCTTTTGAAGGAGGTCGACATTATCTTCATTACCTCTACCATAGTTTGGCCTCAGGTCAAATAACAGGGAGGGAACATAGCCCAGTTCAATTGAAAATCAATTGAAAATTGGATTAAAGATTTACTGAGCATGGCCCCACAACATTAGAATAAGACCCAGTTTCCCCATCAGTCAGTCTCTCCCATCAGAAAGCTGCCACAAGCCTCTCATCCTTCTCCATCAGAGGGCAGACAGAATGAAAACCACAATCACAGAAAACTAAACAATCTGATCACATGCACCACAGCCTTGTCTAACTCAATAAAATTTACCCATGCTGTATGGGGCCACCCAAGATGGAGGGGCCATGGTGGAGAGTTCTGATAAAACGTGGTCCACTGGATAAAACAATTTCAAACCACTTCAGTTTTCTTGCCTTGAGAACCCCATGCACAGTATGAAAAGGCAAAAAGATAGGACACTGAAAGATGAACTCCCCTGGTTGGTAGGTGCCGATATTCAACTGGAGATCAGTGGAGAAATAACTCCAGAAAGAATGAAGAGACGGAGTCAAAGCAAAAACAGCACCCAGTTGTGGACGTGACTGGTGATGGAAGCAAGGTCCGATGCTGTAAAGAGCAATATTGCACAGGAACCTGGAATGTTAGGTCCATGAATCAAGGCAAATTAGAAGTGGTCAAACAGGAGATGGCAGGAATGAACATCGACATTTTAGCAATCAGTGAACTAAAATGGACTGGAATGGGTGAATTTAACTTAGATGACCATTATATCTACCACTGCGGGCAAGAATCCCTTAGAAGAAATGGAGTAGCCCTCACAGTCAACAAAACAGTAAGAAAGGCAGTCTTTGGATGCAATCTCAAAAACAACAGAATGATCTCTGTTCGTTTCCAAGGCAAACCATTCAATATCACAGTAATCCAAGTCTATGCCCTGACCACAAATGCTGAAGAAGCTGAAGTTGAACGGTTTTGTGATGACCTACAAGACCTTCTAGAACTAACTTCCAAAAAAGGTGTCCTCTTCATTATAGGGGACTGGAATGCAAGTAGGAAGTCAAGAGATACCTGGAGTAATAGGCAAATTTGGCCTTGGAGTACAGAAAGAAGCAGGGCAAAGGCTAACAGAGTTTTGCTAAGAGAACACACTGGTCATAGCAAACACCCTCTTCCAACAACACAGGAGAAGACTCTACACAGGGACATCACCAGATGGTCAATTCTGAAATCAGACTGATTATATTCTTTGTAGCAAAGATGGAGAAGCTCTATACAGTCAGCAAAAACAAGACTGGGAGCTGACTGTGGCTCAGATCATGAACTCCTTATTGCCAAATTCAGACTTAAATTGAAGAAAGAAGAGAACACCACTAGACCATTCAGGTATGACCTAAATCAAATCCCTTACGATGATACAGTGGAAGTGACAAACTGATTTAAGGGATTAGATCTGATAGACAGAGTGCCTGAAGAACTATGGACAGAGGTTCGTGATATTGTACAGGAGGCAGTGATTGAGACCATCCTCAAGAAAAAGAAATGCAAAAAGGCAAAATGGTTGTCTGAGGAGGCCTTACAAATAGCTGAGAAAAGAAGAGAAGTGAAAGGCAAAGGAGAAAAGGAAAGATATTCCCATTTGAATGCGAGTTCCAAAGAATAGCAAGGAGAGATAAGAAAGCCTTCCTCACTCATCAATGCAAAGAAATAGAGGAAAACAATAAAATGGGAAAGCCTAGGGATCTCGTCAAGAAAATTAGAGATACCAAGGGAACATTTCATGCAAAGTTGGGCTCAATAAAGGACAGATATGGTATGGGCCTAATAGAAGCAGAAGATATTAAGAAGAGGTGGCAAGAATACACAGAAGAACTGTACAAAAGACATCTTAATGATCCAGATAACCACGATGGTGTGATCACTCACCTAGAGCCAGACATCCTGGAGTGCAAAGTCAAGTGGGCCTTAGGAAGCATCACTACAAACAAAGCTAGTGGAAGTGATGGAATTCCAGCTGAGCTATTTCAAATCTTAAAAGATGATGCTGTGAAAGTGCTGCACTCAATATGCCAGCAAATTTGGAAAACTCAGCAGTGACCACAGGACTGGAAAAGGTCAGTTTTCATTCCAATCCCAAAGAAAGGCAATGCAAAAGAATGTTCAAACTACAACACAATTGCACTCATCTCACATGCTAGCAAAGTAATGCTCACAGTTCTCCAAGCCAGGCTTCAACAGTACTTCATCTGATAACTTCCAGATATTCAAGCTGGATTTAGAAAAGGCAGAGGAACCAGAGATCAAATTGCCAACATCTGTTGGATCATCAAAAAAGCAAGAGAGTTCCAGAAAAACATCTACTTCTGCTTTACTGACCACACCAAAGCCTTTGACTGTGTGGATCACAACAGACTGTGGAAAATTCTTCAAGAGATGGGAATACCAGACCACCTTACCTGCCTCCTGAGAAATGTGTATGCAGGTCAAGAAGCAACAGTTAGAACTGGACATGGAACAACAGACTGGTTCCAAATTGGGAACGGAGTACGTCAAGGC